TTATGGTTTATAACACAGTGTCATACGAAAATTGTATTTGAATCAACAATTTTATATATGGTTTATTACTGTTCATTATATCATACCAAAGTCTAAACATAGCTCAGATTTGTGGGGTTATAAATTGTGTGCCTCTATAATACAAGAAACCGGTTAGATTCTGGATGCAGTGGTCCTCATATATGAAAATGATTTCAAATAAAAGTGATTTTTTCTACCATTTGAAAATCCAAGCAAATTCTAAGGGCATTTGTTATTTAGTAGATAAGATATTTAGTAGTGTGATAATTTTGTTACCTTATACTCTAAATTAGAAAAGCTTGGGCCTAAACGAGACTATGTTTGGCAGGCATAAGTCTATGTCTTCTAGCTTTTGTACTACGTAGTATTTAAAAAATCTTTAAAAGCTTCTAGTTGTATATTTGACATGTCAATTTTTAAGAACTTTTATAAAAATAAAATATCTTTTTTGAGATGCTACAATGAGTAGCATCTCAAATAAGTCCGTAGCTTCTAGTATTAATCAATCATAACAACTTGTATACCAAACAATGTTAAATCAAACAGTCAGTTTTTTACCAAACAGGTACTGCCTTTTCTTTTTAAGATCTTTTCAGTCACTAAAAGCTAACAGTTACTAAAAAGCTCATAAAAATATCTTTTCAGCTAGTTGTGCCAAACATATCCGAAATGCAAAAATGAAAAATATAGAGAGTAAGATCTTCTTAAGACGTTTTATTGAGTAGATTTAGATAGAAAGTGTTTAACTTTTAAAAGGAAAAATTGACAATAATAATCCCAACTATTAGTGAACTGCTTAAAATAATTCAAAAATATCAATTACATAAAAATAATCCCAACTATTGAAAAATCTTCTCAAAATACTTCACTTACTCATAAATATTACTACCTTCATCCCGTTGGAAGGTTCTCATAGCAAAACGGCACGGTTATTTAGACAATAATTAAATAAAGTACTTCGAGTATATTTTGAGAAATAATTTTAATAGGTATACATTATAATGTAGGTAGTATTGATAAATGTGATGTTATAAATGTATTATTGTTAATATTTAATGATTAATTTGTCACTTAAGATTGTTAATTGTTTCCTAAAATGGAAATGACAACATTTATATGAGACGTCCCAAAAAGGAAAGTAAGAACCTTCAAATGGGACAGAGGGAGTATAAGTTATTTACATATAATTATAGGTCACCGAGGTATTTTGATTTTTTAACAGTTGAGATTATTTTGAGATAATTGATACTTTGGATTGTTTCAAAAGGATCAATAATAGTTGAGATTATTCATTTTTATTTTTTGCTTTTAAAATTAATAATCACAACAACTTGTTATGCCAAATAAAACTAATTTGAACATTCATCTTTCATCAAACAAGTGAAACAACTACACCATTTTTCTTTTAGCATTTATAAATTGCTAAAACGCCTTTGAGCTCAAGTTTATTTAAAGCTCATAATAATATACTAGTATTTTTTACTAATGGGAGAAGGGTCAAATATGACAATAAGGTATTTAATGAATCTCACATAGGACACTTAGGTTTTGACTGGACCAAATAAACACTAAATTGAACTTATTCGTTTATTATGAGTCACCCACTAACCCTCCCGTTCTAACGCCCGTTACCCGTTAACCAGCTCCTTTCCCTACGATTAAACTCACAATTCTCCCTATGTAACCCTAAGCGAATGTTCATGGGTTGTAAGTGCGAATTACCTGAGAAAGACGACAAGATGAAGCTTTACGTTTACTGATGGACTCCGTTGAAACGCTCTAAGGCACTACGTTCCGTGTTACTTTGACTGTAAAAATGAGTGGGTTGGTCAATCTGAGGTTTAATCATAGCGGGAGGTGGGTGTTCAAACCATTACAATACATCAATGGGGATGTGGATACAATATATGGATTTGACCCTGATTATTTGTGTTATCATGATATATCTCGGAAGTACAAGGATGATTTGGGTTTTAAAACTCTAAAAAACATTAATGTTTTAGAACCTCGGAAAGATATGGAAAATGGACCATTTTTAGTTTAGGATGATGACACAATTAGAAAGGTGCCAAATTGTATTAGAAGTAACTCTTGGATTGATGATATTGAACTGTATGTTGATCATCAACTGGATGAACCTCTTCTAATCCCCCTAATAGAAGGCTGTAGTGTACCAAACCCAGAGTTTGCTGAAAACGAGAATGTGTTGGGTTCTGAATTTGTTACCAAACAATTCAGAGATTAAACTGATGAAGTAAACACTGGTGGTGTCCCTAATGGATATCAAAGAGATGAAGAATCAAATGGAGAGCAACTTTTTAATGAGGAGGAGGAGATCAACAAATCTGATGATTCTTTAGATGGTGAACCCAAAGTGAACTATGCTGTAACAGATGGATCATGTTACTTTATGAATGGAATGACATTTGAAGATGTCAAAGAAGCCTGCACAACAATTGCTAACTATGGGGTCAAATTTGGTTATAAACTGAAAATTAAACCAAATGAGAAGAAGCGGTTGACAGTCAAATGTGTGAATGAGGAAGGTTGTCCATTTAGAGTTTGGATTTCTCAAGATGGCAAGAATTGTGGATTGGTAATCAAGATGTGTATTTCAGAACACAAGTGTTTCAGGCACTATTCTATTCCAAATGCTAATTATTCCAAAGGCCACTTGTTTATTAAATGGTTTAGATCTTTACATGTGTGTATTATTAACTCTACTTTATTCTTCGAGGCTAGCTCCCATAATAGATTTGTTAAGCATATGTATACTCATATCATGTTTCATAGCTTTGTAATGGCCAAACTATCACATATGTGCAAATGGGAGCCAAACTTGGCCTAGCAAGAGCAACCAGCTGCATTCCAAATTGCAGCCTGGGATAGTATGCAGTACTGCTATAACAAAAATGGTATAACACATTATCATTAACAACTTTATTAACACCAAATTGTCCCACAAAGCCACAACAATCAGACCAAACTAAACCAACTACAACACACTTCACACGCTACTTTCTTCTATCCATCAATCGTTTCTAGGTTACAACTCAAAACATTAACAACTTCAACTAACATAAAAGCATACATATCACTACAACAAGAACACACAACAAAACTACAATCACATAATTCCTATTTTTATTTGATCCCCTCTCCAATTCCATATGATCTGCATCCATGCTATTGTTAATCTCTTGAATTTGAAACTTTGACATTTGTTCATTGGAGTTATCATCATATTCCAAGAGTGTTGTTGTAACACCCCGACCCCGTAGGCCTCGAGGTAGTTACTTCTGACCTCTAGTACTGTCCTCACAAACCGCCACTAGCCTTTTCCGCGCACTTTGTCCTCACTCGTGCGCGCCCTGAGAAACTTCCCAGGGGGTCACCCATCCCAAGACTACTCCCGTGCAAGCACGCTTAACTTTAGAGTTCTTGGCTAATGAGCTCCCTTAAAAGGAGATGCACCTTGTTGGTATGAGTAGTACTATTAATCCATTTAAATTAAATCTCAAGTGTTACAATCACCCCCACTTAAGAACGCAACGTCCTCGTTGCGCCCATAAACCAATCTCAATCATATCCCAGAATCTTTTCCCCTGCTAAGTGCCCGCCCGATATCCGACGGATCAACACACTGTCGCAGGGTTGCTCTGATACCACCTGTAACACCCCGACCCCGTAGGCCCCGAGGTAGTTACTTCTGACCTCTAGTACTGTCCTCACAAACCGCCACTAGCCTTTTTCCGCGCACTTTGTCCTCACTCGTGCGCGCCCTGAGAAACTTCCCAGGGGGTCACCTATCCCAAGACTACTCCCGTGCAAGCACGCTTAACTTTAGAGTTCTTGGCTAATGAGCTCCCTTAAAAGGAGATGCACCTTGTTGGTATGAGTAGTACTATTAATCCATTTAAATTAAATCTCAAGTGTTACAGTTGTTTCATCAAATGGCGTTTCTTCAAATCTCACCCTTACACGTATGGCCTCTTCCAGACCTAATATTGAAGAGTGCAGTCTTCTATTCTCCCTTTTTAGATCATTGATAACATTCTTCGCCCTATCTGTTAATGGCTTGTCATGCCACTCAAAAAAACCACAACCATCCTTCTATACAAACAAATATCAATATACATCAAATGGGAATAAAGATGAAATTCAAACTTTCAATTTAAATTAACTCATAATGTGGACACCCATAGAACCATCTTCCCGGATTCGTATCAGTCCATGATGTCCAAAGTCGCGCTTTCACACGGACTCCATTTGCACTCCTGCACTGATAGTATGTCTGCATTGAATTTGTACGCTCAAAATTGCTTCGAAACTGTACCGAATCACTGGAGTTTGCTTTGTGTTTCTTTGCTGACCTTGATGGTGAAGCACTATCGTCCATTGTAGTTGTTTCCTCTTCCAATGTGTCTGCACACAGTTTAATACGTAGGTTGAAATTCAATTAGGGTTGTTGGATATGTATTTATTGAGTTGTTGTTTAATTGAAGGGGAAGACGCCTGGATCGAACGAAAAGAGACGTCTGTTTAACGGGAGGGTTAGCGAGTGGCTCATAATAAATGAATAAGTTCAATTTAGTGTTTATTTGGTCCAGTCAAAACCCAAGTGTCGTAATTCATTAAATACCTTAGTATCCTATTTGACCCTTCCCCCTTTACTAATTGTATCATACACATCTTAGGGTTAATGGGTGACTCATAATAAACGAATAAGTTCAATTTAGTGCTTATTTGGTCCAGTCAAAACCTAGGTGTCCGGTGTGAGATTCATTAAATATCTTAGTGTCATATTTGACTCTTTCCCCTTTACTAACTGTACCATACACATCTTAGAACGAACTTCAAATAAGACAAACCAGACTAAAGACTTTCTTTTGATCAAATCAAACTAGATTTTTAAACAACCAAATAAAAAATTATCAAAGGTGTGAACATAGGCTAATGGGCTGACCATGTTGGCAAAAGCCGAATACATAAAAAACCAGGTAATAGGCTAGTGGGCCCAAATGTTCATCCCCCTCCCTGCATTCCGTTTCTGAAGAGTGAAGAGTGAAGGCAGTTATAGAAGCAGGCAGGCAGGCAGCCGAGCAACCTCATCAAGAAAAAAGAATCAACGATGGGAGGCCGAAGCCGATGCCGAACGCAGGGGAAACACTTCCGGAATCCTAGAGATGACGGCCGGAAACGCCTGAAGTCGGATTCTCAGAAACCGCCAAACAGAGCTCCGTCAGCCGATGATGAAGCTAACGGGGACGCCACCAATAGTAACCCCATAACGGAGCCTTTCTCCAAGCACAATAGTTCATTCGAAGAGTACTACAAGGTGCGTTGACGCTCTGTATATTTCCCATTTCTGTACGTGTGAGTATGCACAGACTCAAATTAGGATTTAATTTTGCAGGAACAAGGCATTGTGTCGCCGGAAGAGTGGGACACTTTCATTGAATATCTCCAAACACCGCTCCCTGTTGCTTTTAGAATCAATTCCAGGTCTCTATTAAAATCTATCAGTGCACAGTAGTATAACTGTATAATACACTTAGATTTCAGCTAATCCGTTTTGAATCACGCTTCTCTCTTTTCTAGAGAAAAATGTCCATATGTGTAGTGGCGTAATGAATGGCCTAGTTTCCATTCATGGTTTATTTACATACAAATATAATTGTGGGTACCCTGTTTGTTTGATTTCTAACGCTCATTCAGTTTCACGTGTGATCAAAAGGTTTAGAAAACGATTAGGTCCTTATTATCTCTCCCTGTAAAACGTCCACAAGGTTTAGCCTTTTGAGCTTGTGGTTTATGGATGTTCTCTTTGTTTCATTCATAAAAACTGTAAATTTGTTACTTATGAACTAGGGATGTCAAAAAAACCCGGTCCGCAATGGCCCGTCCTGGCCCGAGACATTTGGGGTGGGTCTGGCCCGCCCCGTCTTGCAAATGGGGCGGGTTCACCCCGCCCGCCTATACAATGGGGCGGGTCTGGGTATTAGTATTGACCCGCCCCGACCCTCTCAATATATAAGTATATACATACTTTTTCTTAAATTATACTACAAATATACTTCAACATACATATGTGTGTATACAATAAATCATAAATTCTTTGATATTATAATATATCAATATATATATATATATATTAGATTGAGATGAACGACGGATTATCATTGTCTTCTTTATATATAGCATTTTAATACATATATTCAAGTATTAATATAATTAAATAGATTAACTATTCAAGTCTAAGTGATTTTTCCTTAACTTTTGAAATTTCTAGCGTATCATGAATTTGATTTAATATATTAATTTTTAATAATTATTTAAAGATAAACTTTATGTAGATTCAATTGGTAACAACTTCTCACAAACAAAAATACATACTATTAACAAGTTTGGACCCGTGCAGGTCACGGGGCGGTGCAGACCCGCCCCGTCAAGTCACGGGGCGGGTCTGGGTCTTGCAGTACCCGCCCCGACCCGACCCATTGCCATGCGTATTATGAACATTGTACTGCTGTGGATGCTGCACATTACTTAATAAAGAACTTCCTATTTCCAAGTATTCATCAGCCTTTTCACTGATACCCTATTGCAGGACGCAGTGTTATATGGATATTAGATCAATGTTAGAGGATGATTTCATGAACTCTCTTCAGGCAGAGGTTTGTCCCCCCCCCCCCCCCCCCCCAAGTGCGCGCACACACACTAAAATAAGAGTCCATACTCGTAGCTATAAACTCAACCAATCCCCTCAGATTTCAGATGGGAGTGAAGTTGAGGCAATTAGACCTTTGCCTTGGTACCCAAACAACCTTGCTTGGCATTCCAATTTCTCTAGGAGCCAGTTGAGAAAGAATCGAACTCTTAAGAGGTACATGATACTTTTTACTTAATATTGAGAAGAGGTATTGATGTCAGATGCACCCCCACCCTCTCATCAAGCAACACTGCTCCTGCAAAAGTCTTGAACACACAGAACAGGTCACATACAAACAAAAGAAACTAGAAAACATCTATGACATGTGCTTTCTTCGCCCTGCCTTTCCAAGAAAGATAGCTCTACGTAACCCATTACCAACCTAGGTACCACATAAAGTACTGCCAATGAATCAAGATTAAAGTATTAGGTTGTCTATCAATATTATCTTCATCAGGGGTTTTCTGTTAGGTACCTGACACAGATCTGAGCAATACAATAAACTAACAAGCACAGATCTAATGAATGATAGGGAAAGAGTGTTTATTGATGGAAGGTGATAAACAGTAGGCTGCAGGGACTTCTTAGGCAACCGGGACTTAGGCAACAAGGCAACAATTCTCAAAATAATAGTCTACCCATTATTAGCTACCCAACTTACTATTTATAGTAGTAGGTCCACGCAGGGACTAAAATAGAAAAACAGACTCATTAAATGACCCCAGCCCACTTAATTGACCTCAGCCCATTTTATTTCTCCTTTCAAATACCCTATTAAAATACTTAAACAGGCAGATTCCTAACATTACTCCCCCTCTAATTAACCACCTTGCCCTCAAGGTGGGTAATAAAACACCACCTTGATCTTGAACTTCCTCTTCATCCTGGAACCTCTTCCTTCCCAGTATCTCCTTGGTTTCTGATCTAGGAGCTTCATTTCTTTCACTTTCATTATCACATCTTTCACAGCAAACAGGAGCAGAAACTGGGTATAAAAATTCCCTGGAAATATACTTGAAGCCTCTTCCTTGTAACCCATCTCTTCATATAATGGTTCTAAGGCCGACATGCTATGAGTTGCAGCTCTAAATGGATCAAAGAACAAACCAGTTGGAACTCTTACAAGAACACACATACCCATTTCAACTGGTTGAACAATTCTCCTCTCCCCAGTAATTCCTTCTTGTAGTATTTCTTTGATAATCCCATCTATATCCTCTTTTTGGCCTTGTGGGTATCTATAAAACTTCAGGTTAGGTACTTCTGCTCACTCTTCAATGTTAATAGCATGGTCACACTTTCTAGGAGGAGGTAATCCTGGTCTGGGAGTAAATACCTCAGAAAATTCTGCCATAATTCCTTCCCAATTGGAATCCTTCAACTGATTTCCCTCTCCCTCCATTTTACTGCCTTCCCAGTAGATAAGATAGCCATCACCAGCATCCTGTACAATTTGTGACCTGGTCTTGAGAGATACTTTCATAGATTTTGACTTAGGGTCCCCATGAATAGCCTGACTTAACCCCAGCTGATGCCACTTTATGCTTTGCTTCTGAAAATTGATCTCCACATCCCCCAATCCAGTCAACCAATCCATGCCTAAAACCAAGTCAGCTCCCTCCAACTTCAGCATGTAGAAATCTTGTTGAATGACAGCTCCCTGCAAGCTCAGAATTAATTGTTCACACCTGCCCTTGTTGAAGACCTTATCACCATTCCCAAGCTGCACTTTGTAGCCAGCAATGGTATGATCAGGGAGGGTTAACTGCTCTACCATTTCCTGAGATATGAAGTTGTGTGAGGCTCCACTATCAATTAGAACATCTACTGGCTTCTCTCCCTTAGCCCATTTCAGAATTCCTTGTACCCTAAAAGCCCTCATAGAGGGTGTTTCCTTCTGGTTCATGAAGGATAATTGCATGGACTTAGATTCCATGGTGATTTTTTCATCTTCAGGGATTACCCCTTCTGACTTATCTAATTCCTCTTCTCCCTCGGAATCTTCCACTAAAATCAGTTTGTAATTCTTCATTTTGCATGAGTGCTCTCTTCCCCATCTTTCACCGCATTTGAAACCATACTTGTCACGGCGGTAAGGCGAGTCGCGGCGCCAGCCGACCGCCATATCGCCTAGGCGACAAGGCGCCCGCCTAGGCGACAATTAGGCGACTAGTTGTACATTGAATAATACATTATATATGTATATATTATATTACATATAATCATATGTATAATTATATATAATATATTACTAATTAAATTGTATATTACCTAGAATTGAATACAACAATTAATGATTGAATGTTTGAAATTTCCTTGAAACTAAGGTTTATTAAGGGCAATTGTGAGTAAAAATGCTATCTCATAAAGTACGTATATCATAATTCATATATTTGTATACACAATTATTTATAGTTTTATATAATACAGGGTAGTTTTTATTAATAGTTTAACGGTTTTATAACATACAGTAATTGTATAAGACTATAAAATAGCACCGAGCATCCTATGCTCTATGCCTCTGACTGACTGTATGCGTGCGTACTATGTATACAATATACGTAGTATATATACAAATTAATTAATTAGAATATTCAAAAATCAATCGACAGAGGAGAAGAGAAGTTCGACAAAACGAGAAGAGATGGGGGCCTCGAAGCGTACTTGTCGGCTGCTTCCTGCGAGTGTGAGACTGCGATCTGCGCTCGTCTGCTTCCTGCGAGAGACTGCGAGACTGTGTGATCTACGCTCGTCTGCTTCCTGCGAGTCGCGTCTGCTTCTTGGGCCTGCGGACTGCGGTTACACTAGCCAAAATCTAGACGCCTTATCGCCAAAAGCTCGCCTGGACGACGACCGGACGACGCCAACGTCGCCTACTCTTCTTCTGGCGAGGCGAGTTAACCCGGCGACCATTCCCTAGCGCCAGGACGCCTAGTCGCCGACTAGGCGACGCCTAGGCGACGCCGTGACAAGTATGTTTGAAACAAAGCCCCTTCCGGCTTCTATCTTGGCATTCTTCCTGTGTCAGTTGTGGCCCTACTCTTCTCATGTCTGCGGGATTTATTTCTGTTTCCTTCTTCCCATCAGGAGTAAACCAAGGTTGATTTCCCTTGTCGTATGCAGTATTTCTACCATTGTTATAATACCCTGAACTGCTTGCCTTGGATCTATACCCTTCTCCCCAGGCTGTTGCTTTATGATTCACAGCTCCCTTTTCCTTCCCAATAGTTTTCTCTTCAACCTTGCCCTTCTCATAGAGAGCATCATTTTTCTGCTCTATCAAAAGAGCCCTATCCATAATGGCAGACAAGGATCTGGAGCTGCACAGTTTCAGCTCAGCCTTGACCTCATCCTTGAGACCGTTAATGAAGATGCCTCTCAATATTCCCCTCTCAATCTCCCTCTGAGGAGCCATCACCATTTCGAATTCCTCCCTGTAATCTGCCACAGTTCCTGTTTGTTTCAAGCTCAGCATTGGGCCATAGGGGTTCTGTATTAAGTCCGGTTGGAACCTGCAAATCAATGCATCCTTCAGGTTTTCCCAGGTTCTCTCTTCCGCCTGGTGTTCCCACCATTGGAACCAATTCAGCGCTTTATCCTCCATTGCCACAAAAGATACTTCCACCCTATCCTCTTCTTCAATATTGTTCAGTCTGTAATAACGCTCCATTCTCACGATCCAATTGTATGCACCCTCCCCATTAAACATAGGTAAATCCACCTTCCTCCCCGTTTGAACCCGACGCCTGTGGATGGGAGAATGTACGGAGTTACCTCTGGAGTGAGTGGGTGATAGCGAATGACGATGGTGAGGGGATTGCGATATCCCCTTGACATGGCCGCTTCTGTTCTGATGAGCCGCCATCGAAGCCGCGATGCTCGTCTGAATCTGGTCGTTGATCGTTGCCATGAAATTTGTCATCGCCGCCTTCATTTCTTGCTCAAAGGCCTCCATACGCTGCTCCATTCTGGATCTCGTTTTTACCATCCACTTCAGAAACGAGAACTATTCTGCTGTCGCTACCTCACAACGATCCCAGGAGCAATTGCTCTGATACCAATGTTAGGTACCTGGCACAGATCTGAGCAATACAATAAACTAACAAGCACAGATCTAATGAATGATAGGGAAAGAGTGTTTATTAATGGAAGGAGATAAACAGTAGGCTACAGGGATTTCTTAGGCAACCGGGACTTAGGCAACAAGGCAACAATTCTCAAAATAACAGTCTACCCATTATTAGCTACCCAACTTACTATTTATAGTAGTAGGTCCACGCAGGGACTAAAATAGAAAAACAGACTCATTAAATGACCCCAGCCCACTTAATTGACCTCAGCCCATTTTATTTCTCCTTTCAAATACCCTATTAAAATACTTAAACAGGCAGATTCCTAACATTTTCCTTGTGAAGTTATAGACAATAATTGTAAATAACTCTCCAATCTAAACCCCTTGAACGTTAAACATGTATAGAATACCTTGAACATCCTTTGCGAAAAATGTAGCACAGGCCCATGCATTACCTTCATGTAATGGGGCATTTGTGTATATATATGCAAGCACATATGAATTACTCAATTACAAAATCAGTATATTATGGTTTAAAATGATAAAAATTTCAGGTTCCATGAATTCTTGAAACTACAAAATGAAATTGGCAACATTACAAGACAGGAAGCTGTTAGCATGGTGAATGAACTTTTTACATTCATGTGTATTTGGAGTATGCTCCTTACAATCCGTTGTATAACAGTCATGACTTTCTTTTTCCATTTTCACTAACTTCAAAATTGAGGTATACTATAATGTGCTGGACTTGACCTTTATTTTCCAACTTCTTTGGTTCAGGTTCCTCCACTGTTTCTAGATGTATGTCCGGATCATTTTGTTCTTGATAGTAAGCTTCTCTTTGTAAATCATAAGTTCAAAGTTGAGGGAAAAACTCATGAATGAGAAGGATCTTTGTCTGACATGCTATTCAATTGTAAAAAATATGTTTATAGTCTTTTCACTCTTTTGTCTGGTTTGTTCCTGATAAAGAGTACATTTTCTCATGCCCCCCTCCCCCCCCCCCAAAAAAAAGAAACAGATTTTGACTATTTTTTTACCAATGTAGTGTGTGCAGCTCCTGGTTCCAAAACATTTCAATTGCTTGAGATGATATACCCTGAGGGTGTTCCTGGATCACTACCTACTGGAGTGGTACACTCTATATTTTCTCACTTTTCCCCTACAGCTCGTACGTCCTTAAATACCAAATAATTTTAGCATTTTGGGTATTCTGTACTTTCTCCTTAATGATAGGGGTATGTCCAAGGTTCGAAATTGCGTATTGCGTAGTTGTGGCGTTTTTTTAAATATTGCATATTGCGTAAGCCTCATTGCGCAACGAGGCGTATGCCTGAGGCGTAATACACACACACAAACATAATAAAAAATAAACATATTTGTCAAACGTCCTCAAATGTTATATTAAAACAAACCATAAGAGGCCATAGTCCTAGGAAAGTAATATGTTCAAACTTCAAAGTACCATAGAATACCAAAACTTTCTGAATCGTTCACAAAAAAAATCTAAGATATGAGAATTTAAATTAATTAGATTGATCGACTGAAAAAATCCAAGCAATAACTAGTGGTTTGAAATAGGGATCATAACATCAATTATAAAAATTTAAAAGTAGGCCGGGTAGGCCCAAATAATACCATTACACCCTGACCTTCTCCTATTGCGTACGCCGCAGAGCGTCTTATTGCGTATGCAAAATTGCGTACGCCTCAGTGATATATTGCGTACGCCACACTCCCAATGCCATATGCAATGCCTTTTATGCCATAGTCTCAGAATTAGCTGAGGCGTGCCATGAGGCGCAATTGCATTGCGCAATTACAAACAATGGGTATGTCTATCTTCTTTTTGAATTCCAAAAATATTTTCTCTCATGTGCATGTCTTTGTGATTTATTTGAACACTAATCTTTGAAGGTGATAGCAAATGATGTTGATGTACAAAGGTGCAACCTTCTCATCCACCAAACAAAGAGAATTTGCACTGCCAACTTAATTGTCACAAATCATGATGCCCAACATTTCCCCAACTGTCATTTGTATAGACACCATCCCAACGGTTCCGAGATTAGGAGCTTTGAGGTTCCCAATATCACTCGGCATCTATTTGATCGTGTTTTATGTGATGTTCCGTGCAGTGGGGATGGTACTTTACGCAAGGCACCTGGCATTTGGAAGAAATGGTAGTAATATATGTATTTTTGTAGCGTTTATTTTTTTTTTAAATATATGTATGTTATATCTTAGTCTTTTCTTTTCCTTTTGTAGGAATGTAGGAATCGCCAATGGTCTGTATGGTCTACAAGTTCAGATAGCGATGAGAGGTGTTTTTTACAGCACTCGGGGCCTTCTGGGGGGGGGGGGGGGGTTACAGCTGATATGCTTGCATGGTTTTAACCCACTTATGCCGACCTTCTCTGACTTATATGTTGGAACGTCAAATTTGTATCACTTATTCAACATGGAATGTTCCAACTCTTATTAGTATTTCCCAAAGAGAAGGAGGAACCTGCCTTAAAAAAGTACTCCCTCCGTCCCGCTAAGATTGTCTCATGCCAAATTTGATAAAGTTTGCGTGGTTCTAAATCACTCTTGCTTTATTCTTACCTTATGATTTCAATATCAATCACATAAAACCACTTTTCTTAATAACCACCTCACCTCTTAATGTCCCAATGTTAATGGGATGGAGGTAGTACAAAGTTAATATATTCTTTTCGGTCCGTCCCAAATTTATCTCCTCTTTCTTTTTTTGGTAAAGAATTTGTGGTTCACAACCATTCTTACACATTTCTCTTTCCTCTGCACAACTCTCCACCACATATTTCTCACTATCTTAAAACTCGTGCCCAGTCAAATAAGGAGATAATTCCGGGATGGAGGTAGTATATGATTTATTCCATCACTAATTATGAAGATAAGCTTAACTCTTTCAGATCGTGCCAGTCTACCATGAGAAATATAGGATTCACAAAATACGCTACTATGCTAGTGATTTGAAAATGGTGTAGAGTATGTTTGCTAACTATGTATATTAAATGCAATTTTCATAACTTTCCATTCTCTCCTAAGCCTTACTTAAACTTATGGCTGTTGATCCATGTATTCCAGGTATTTCTTTGCTTAAAGTTGGTGGACGGATGGTTTATTCGACTTGCTCGATGAATCCTATTGAGAATGAAGCTGTGGTTTCTGAGGTATTCTTTGGTTCTTTGAGGTCCAATTAGAATGTTTCTATTCTTTCATTCCTCAAAAGGTCATTTGAGGGTTAAGTTATTTGATTTGTATGAGAAAGGACATGGTGATGCTCAAGGAGGTATTTGTGCTGCTTTACCTTTCTTAGCATTCACAGTAATACCCAGCAGTCCCAGCTGTTTTGCAACGGCCAGATCCAACAATTTCAACTTACAATTTCCATCAGCATTCATTTAAGATATTCTGGATCTATGGGAGTCCTAGGGAAACAAAAGCCAAGGAAGATTTCATTCTTATGTTTGACACTTCGGCAATGATTTCCAAATTCCAACTTACAATTTCCATTAGCATTCATTTACTGATGACTCATTGACATCTTTTACGTTCAACCAGATAATCAGCCTAGCTCTCAATATTAGACTGTTTATTGTAATATTAACAGTAAATTCAGTCTACCTATGCTTTCATCATTTTTAAAATTTAAAGTTGCTTGTCTTTACGTACCCTTTTCACCATCATGTCACGAATTATTATGCTCCATTTCAACTGCATGTTTATCTTCTTTTGGCAGGTTCTGCACAGGTGTGGACAGTGTGTTGAACTTCTTGATGTCTCCATTGAGCTTCCTCATCTAATTCGCCGCCCAGGTCTTAAAAAATGGAAGGTGTTTGTGAAACTATTCTCTTGGATATCAATATATTTATATTATGTTTCACTTCATTATGTTTTGGGGATCACTTGGCTGTGCCTTTAACATATGGTTATCTAAGTCTAAGTGGTCCTATAAGTATGATTAAATGTTTACATAACTCTAAGAATTATAAAATGGCAGCTAAAAAGTTTCACGTGAAAACATTGCCAAGACTAGGCTATCTTGCACCTATGTGGAAAATGTCAAAATAGATCATTTGGAATTATCATGTTTTCATGGAAAACAGTCATTGAAAACATTGTCATAGTTTGTTCATGTTTTCTCCAAAATGTAGAAACAATATTTTCCAAGAGTTTATGTGCATCATTGCTACCAAACCCTAGCTAAAATGAGAAATATAATGGTCGCGTCTGTCTTAGCTTGCAGATCCTAAGAATATGAAAAAAGATTTACCAACCTAATATGTGTGTGTATATTCAAAGTTTTAAAATCCCATTAGAGTTCAGTGGTAGTGGCCTTGCAAGGTAAAGATGGGAAACTCACCTAGAATGACAAAATGTCTAGATCTTATGGGAACATTTCTTCCATTTGATTTATCTCAATGTCTTCAAATGGCATTTGCAGGTTAAGGATAAAGAAGTGTGGTTGAATTCTTACAAAGATGCTCCAAAACCTCGCAGAGGTTCAATTGTTCCTGGAATGTTTCCTTCTCGGTGTAACTGGAGTTTTGGAAGTGTGATACACATGGACGAAGAACACACAACTTCCACTAGCATCCTGGAAGAGGAAGTATCCACATTACCTTTGGAGCGCTGTATGAGAATAGTGCCTCATGATCAGAACACTGGAGCCTTCTTTATTGCTGTCTTTCACAAGCTTTCAAATCTACCAGGTAAATCTTATAGAATACTTGTTTGAATCAGTTCTGCTGTAGAAGATATAGAGAACTTTCTGGGGATGATGTTCAATGATGCTAGTGTATTAGGCATTACTACTGAATAGCTTATAATCCAAGTAAAAGTGGTCAGTCAGCTAAGTCCTACATAATCGGGAAGTAGCTTTTTTAGAAAATATCTGAAATGAAACGTGGGCAAAACAAGCAAAAGTAAACAATTTAGGGATATTGTTGTACAAAAGTAACTAAATAATTTAGGGATATATACTACCTCTGTTCTCTTTTAATTGCAACATTGGACTTTTTGCACTATTCACATATTCTACTTTGACTATATTTTATTAATTAATGTATTATAAATTAAATTTTTAAAAAATATTGTTAAATTCTTCTCATTCTAAATTTTCAAAATATGATTTTTTTAAATTTTTTACTAATAGGGAATGAAAGATATTAATGGTCAAACTTATGCGTTGGCAAACGTGAAATGTTGACGGTTGCAATTAAAAGGGAACAGAGGAAGTATATAATATGGCAGTGACAATACCAAAAATAATAATAATAAAATGAATATTAATAGTAAATCATCAAATTTAAATCTAGAAATTGTTCATATAGTAATGCATAACAAAATAAAAAATGCAACATAAGTAACATAAATTAAATTTCAGTGGATTCATTTCCATGTAATTAAAACATCGCTAAAGAAAACCCATTCAAGATCTGGTTTGTCCAAAGACAGATGAAAAATTCAAGAACCCCAATATTATCCAAGCTTCCAAATTGATCTCCATATCCCATATGTTAGTATGCCCTAAGTGTATTCCAAAGAATTGGAGATAAAACCCATTCAAATGTGGGTGTTGGTGGAGATCAATTTGCAAGCTTGGAAGATGTTGAGGTGCTTGAATTTGTCAATATGTTTTTTGACGAACCAGATCTTCAACGTGTTTTCATTAGCAGTGACGTGGAAAATGAATTCATTGAAGTTTAATTTATTTTATTGCTAATACGTTTTATATTTGATATGCATTAATATTTGAACAATTTCTAGATTGATTTTGATGAATTACTAGTAGCTGGAGATGTATCTTATTGAATCAGAAGTCAGAACATGGTGAATGAAATGGAAGAATGCCTCGGAACGTTTGATGATTTACTACTTTTATTATTACTACTAGATGGGGATGTATCTTACTGAATCAGAACTTGGTAGGTGAAATGGAAGAATACCTCATGATTTCTATGTGATCGAGGTATGCCAACAAAATTGAAGAGTAAGTTTTATCGGACAACAACTAGGCTTGCACTATTGTATGGCAAAATGTTGGGTGGTGAAACAATATCACATTAAAAAGATAGGTGTGGTTGAGATGTGAACATATTGAAAAAGACCGCTTAAAGAATGAAATAATTAGACAAAGGGTGGGAGTAGCACCAGATAAAGTTAAAATGCAAGAGTCGATTACAGTGACTGAGTGACTTGACCATATGTGTATAAGACCGAGTGATGCACCTATTAGATGAATTGAGAGATATAGAGAAGGGGCAGGGGGAGAGGATGTTCTAAATAGGCGTGAATTAGAGTGGTCAAGCATGATACAGTACTTCTTGGATTAGATGAGAATGTGACTTTGGTGGTAGTGAAATGGAGGGAGAGAGTACACGTGTAGAGGATTGATCTGTTTTTGTTTGTATGCCTTTTCTCTACCATAGGTGGAGCCTTTGCGGCACTGGGGGTAATATTGTTGTATTTAGGGTTCTGCTTCTTCAGTGCTAGTTTATTTAAACCTCGTATATTCGTATGTATTCATACTGCTAATTATAAAGGACCATGCTTAGTGTTTGAAATCCAGTAAATATATTTAAATAGAGAAGTCAACTGCTGAGATCAAAGAGGCTTCAAAAGGGTTGGAAGGGAAGTCAGCATGTACTGGAAGTGTTCAATTTCCTGAAGAAACAAAAAATGTAGATTTACTTGACAAAGAAACAGATGGCCCTGCTTATTACAATAAGTCTGACAAAAAATATCAAGATAATGAAGCTGATGACGTCCACCTTTGTGGTCACACTAGTGCTAGTCCAGAGATGGTTGGAAGAACAGAGTTGCAGATTCAAGGCAAGTGGAGAGGGGTTGACCCAGTTATCTTTTACAGGGAAAATGAACTTACTAGTAAGATCAAAGATTTCTATGGTATTAAAAAATCCTTTTCGTTTGATGGGAATCTCGTTACAAGAAACAGTGATACTAAGAATGTGAAGCGAATATACTATGTATCCAAGTCTGTGAAGGAGGTTCTTGAACTCAATCTTCTTGCTGGGCAGCAGCTTAAGATAGCCTCAGTTGGTCTGAAAATGTTTGTAAGTTTTTTCCTACATAGTACATATGACTCACACTTGATAGAAAGGGAATTATGGATATTGTTTATTATAGCGAACACTGCGAAGTTTTCACTACTACTTCAGCCCAAAAACTAGTCTCGTTCAATAAGTTCTTTTTTTGTTCCAAAAGGAGTCATGTTTTATCTAGCGAATCTAAGTTTTCATATTCGCAAAAAAAGGGTTAAACAAGTTAAATATAATTTTTGGCTCCATTCGGTAGCTTGTTCTTGGTTATTATGCTTAACGATGTACACAAAATAAGTAGCTATTGACTTACTTATTTGGATGGAATGGATGCCCCCAAATGCTTTTCCTTTCCATAAGATTTAGGAGAGTTAGCCATTTCGGCCAAAATGGCTAAATAACAAATTAGGAGCTATTTGACCAAGCTTTAGCCATTTAGCCATTTTTGGCTCCTAAGCTTTTCTTTTCCTTTCCAAAATGGCTAAATATCTGCTGTAGTTCAACCAACAAAAAGAATTATAAACCACGTAGGGTTTTATAAGTTTTTACTGGTGAACCTTGCTAATAACAAAAATTTGTGCCATGACAAAAATGACTTTATTTGGACGGATGGAGAACCTATTAGACACCACTTTCGGACCATTTTCCCTATCCCACATGTCAATAGGAAAAGATTTATGAGAAAAATGTGTGCCAGGGATAGATGTTTCTATCCTCGTTTTCTCTTCTTTTCATCTAATGCCATTTATGACAATTTCAGTTTACTTTTTCATCCAGGTAAGACAGCCATATAAAGACGGTGCATCTGCACCCTGTGTGTTTCGCATTTCATCCGAGGGATTGCCGCTGTTACTGCCGCACATAACGAACCAAGTTTTATATGCATCTCTCTTGGACTTCAAACATCTATTGCAGTATAAAATAATTAAGTTCGCCGATTTTGTTGATTCCAACTTTAGAGAAAAGGCTTCTACTCTATTGTTGGGTTTCTGTGTGGTGGTTTTAGATAATAAAGGTTACGTTGTAATTGTCTTAGGGTATATTTGGATCCTCGAAAATGCCATGACAAGGAAAGAATGTGCGTTAAGTTATTTTCCTATGTTTGGTTTTACCAAGGAAGTTTAAATATGATTTGCTGCTAGTTTTTATAGAAGAAACATAAACAAAAATGTTTATAGAAAATATGTTTTAGAAACATAATTTAGTTTTAGCTATTTTTTTAACTCCATTTTCATTCCTTCCAATTTTTCTCTCTTTTCCTTCACAAATTCATTGCCTGGTGTTTTCCTGGACCCAAAAGCACCATTAGTGTAATAGAGTTCTATCATATTTATAGTTTTATGTGCTCACTCAAAAGCGGTCCCTTGATTTGTGCAGATAAGCAGACAGCAATTGGATGCTGGAGAGGAAGGACTAACATATCTGTGATGGTCTCTTCCCTCTACTGCCAAGAATTATTAGAAAGGATGGATAAGTACGTGAAGGAGGACATGGTGTTGTCTTTACATTGCAACGATCGCTCTTTTGTTAAGGCAGAAGATCAGACAAGAGTTGCTGTCGTGCCGAATGTAATGCCCAAATCACTTGGGACTTTAGGGTAATGTATTGTACTTTCCATTTACACTTTTTTGTTTTTGAGGCATTATTGCTTCTCTGCAGACATATTTTCTGACCCTTTTCTGCAGATTTCATAATTTCTTATTTCGTGAACTTAAGGAACGTGGACAGATGGTTTTTGACACGTGATAATTTCTTGCTGAAATGTTGTAGTAGCAAAGCCAAGGTGTATGTAAACAGTTGAAGTATTGTAGTCATATACTCATATGTGATACTCGTATGTGAGAACCCTTTTGTGATGAGTTGTGTCCACGACTCCACGTTATGTCAACTTTAATCAAAGTCTAGTCCAATTGTGATTTATTTATTTATTTTGCATCCAAGGTTTGACTCTCTTTAGGGTTAGTCTGGCCCAAGTGTTCACTCATCAAGTTGTTAAACCCAATTTCAACAGAAGAGTGAGTCTGTGAGATAGATCTCATCTTGAAGATTCATTTTGGGGAGATAAACCAGGTTTAATAATTTCTGTCAAGAAATGAAGGAAGCAGATATGCAACATAGAAAGACATAAGTCAAGGAAATAATAACAGTCTTGCAAGAAAAGACATGTGGTCACCGTGTAATATCCAGTCTAGGACATCACAATTTCTTTAGTAAAACAGTTTGTAATAATAATATAATAAAAAACAAATATTGAATTTTAAGATATACAATCAAAATACAGCAGATACTAGTGACTAGAACTGGCTGTCATCAGAATCAATCTCATAGGCTCGAAGACTCTGCCTTAGCCAAAAAAGGGAGAAACGTACAAGACCCCATCACCTCAGGAGGAAGTACAACACATTGATTTCTTTTCTGGGATGACTTGTGCAGGCCCAGGCAAAACAATCTTCTTTCCACTTAAAGATCCTTGATTCCCATTACCTTGATTCTCAGGAGGGGCAACAAGATTATTCCTGTTCACAATATTAAATATCTCTGTCAGCAACTTCATGAATGCATCCTCCACGTTTGTTGCTTCCATTGCAGACGTCTCCAAGAAAAACAGACTTTCCTTCTGTGCAAATTCCTTAGCATCCTCGGTTGGGACAGCACGCTGCTGCTCAAGATCGATTTTGTTTCCAATAAGAATGATCACTATGTTCTTGTCGGCATGATTACGCAACTCTTCCAACCAACGCGGTATGTGGTCAAAGGTTTCCCGCTTTGTTATGTCATAAACCAACATAGCACCCACTGCTCCCCGGTAGTAGGCACTCGTCACAGCTCTATATCTGTTTTTTATTATTAAAGGTTACAACTCATCATTATTACGCGAAAATAGATGATACAAAAAAAAGAACTTTCTGAAAGAGCCAAACAACCATTAAAGAACAGTCTCCTAAAATCACTTCTACTGCTGAAAATAAGAAAAAAGAGTAGCTTTTGACTAGCTTGTTTGGCTGAAATAGATGGTAGCAAAGAAGGCCCAAGCAGCCATTACAGAACACTAGAGGCTCCTAAGTTGGAAGTGTAGCAACCAGCTCTGACTATAGTTTCTCAGAGCCTCGACCTGTGGGTTATAGAGAGAGCCCATGGTCATCCCCACGTCACGAAGATCTTGAGATTGTAGGATTACAGGACAATTACAACTCTAACTAATACTTTCTACACAATAAGAGTATACATCCATACAGATCATTAATGTAAATTGCTAATGCTGTTGGTATAATCTGAATCCTTAAGCACCCCTCAAAGATCAAATCCACTCATTTAACAATAACTTTTTGACATACGAAAAATCATTTAACCTCGAAGGGGTACTGATTATAATATTTATTTAAAATCCTAGTTATATAGGTAATCGGGTAGAATTTCTTCCATTCACAGCATGAGAAGGAAATTAAACTTCTTAGAGACAGGCAATATACCACAAATTGGTAAAATATCAACCCAAATATCAGAATGTATGGTAAGGAATAAAAACAACTTTGAATGAAGCATAAGAGTTGAAGTAAAGTTTGAAATCGAAAATACCGCTCTTGGCCGGCGGTGTCCCAGATCTGAGCCTTGACGGACTTGTGCTCGATGACCATAGTCCGAGTTTGGAACTCAACACCAATGGTGGCCTTGGAGTCGAGGCTGAACTCGTTCCGGGCGAATCGCGCTAGCATCTGAGACTTGCCAACCGCCGAGTCTCCGATCAACACCACCTTGAACACGTAATCTATCTTCTGCCCCGCCGCATCCCCATATCCTCCTCCGCTACCCATCTCTTTCTTCTCTCCCGCTTCTTCTACCTATAGCTATTGCAGTAACAGTAGCAGAAGCTGAAGAGTGAAGATCTGTAGAAAGAATGTAGAATCGGAGTCCAGACGGAAGAAAAAAGTAAGAAGAGGAGTCGAAGAGTCCGTAGATCTTGACTTATAGAAATATATCGTTGACTAGTGCCCTTAAAAGTACTCCCCTGTTTACAGTTAGTTCCTTGCCTTACAGCAACAGCAACAAAAAGAATGAAAGAAAACCCATTCAACATTTCAAACTTCACACTACCAAAATTGTCACTTCTCTTAAAATATTACTTTCTCTTAAAATATTACTCCCTCCGTCCCAATTTAATAGACTTGTTTTTTTGGGCACGAGTTTTAGTAAATTGGTTGAAAAGGTAAAAATTGTGGTTGAAATTTGAGTATAATAAAGTGAAATGATATAGACCACATATTTCTTTCCAAAAAGGGAAACAAGACCATCATTTTGGGACATCCCAAAAAAGAAATACAGGACTATCATTTTGGGACGGAGGGAGTACCTACTTTATTTATTGAAACGTCAATAATATATTACTACATCCTAAACGTCAATAATATATTACTACATCCTAAACGTAGTAATATATTACTATATCCTTCCCATTTTATATGTCTCACTTTGACTTGACACAATTATTAATAAAATGGTTGAAAAAATAAAAGTTATGGTTGTGATTTGAATATAATAAAGTGAAATGTTGTAGATCACATATTTATTTACAAAAGAGGAAATGAGACACTTATTTTGGGACAATCCAAAAAAGAAAGTAGGACATGTAAAATGGGACTGAAGGAGTAATAATTTAAGACTTAAAGTTAGTGGTTTATACATGTGAGAAATAAATAAGAAGAATCATTAACTAGTTATTTAATGGGAAAATGAAGAATTTATACAATCAAATAAGGATAGAGCACAGATTGATCATATTCATGAGATGATAACAAAAATCTTTTGATATTTTATTAAAGAAGTCACCGAGGAATGGTAGGTTGATAACTTGATATTACTAGTATTTCACCCGTGTCGCACAAGATGTGCATTTAGGGAGTTTCATGGTTGAAACTTCATAGACATTATAAATGTACATTTACAAATTTGTAAATGGTGTCGATGCCGAGGATGACGTTAGTGATTGATTTATAAGTTTGTAAATGGTTCCGTTGCGCGGAAATGGCGGGAATGATGCCATATACAAATTTGCAAATGACGCCATATACAAATTTGCAAATGACGCCATTTATAAATGTGCATTTATAGAGCATCTAAGGAGTCTCGGGTTCGAAAATCCATATACATTATAAATGTGCATTTATTAAACATTTGCAAATTTGTATATTGAGAGCCATTGGTAATAACCAAATCAAGTGTATTGGCTTATTTTGTTGAATTTTATTAAGTTCTGGCTGATATGGCTGCATTAGTTGATTCTACTGATTTATGAAAAAAATAATATTTAAAATATAGTTTACTAATAAAATAAAGAAAAATATATATGAAAAACAACTAAAATAATAATATAAAGTAACTTCAGCCAATACAGCGAGAAAAGTCACTTCAATTTTACTTTTTCTTGTTATTGCATAATTCAGCGCACGAAATCAAAAGTTACGCGTTGGGTGAAAAAGTTGGCTGATGAGCCTGATAAGTTGGAAAACGGGCTCTGAGTGACCGTCAGGGGACGTACGTCAGGAGACACAGAGTGGCTCATCGACTTGGGAGGCACCAAGGGTATTAGCTGGCGACGTACGTCGGATTCAATTCTACTTCCTTATGTCCCGCGCACGCTCGGAACATCAGAAGTGGGGGACTTGTGTTGGGTTAATGGCCCAACGGGGGTTGACCCATAAACCCTCAAGGCCCACCCTACGAACATCCCCAGAAGGCCCAAGACAACGAATTAGCCTCCCATTATCCTGGCGAGGTTCGTCCCCGACAGGGCCAAGCCCAGGGGATGTACGTATCCTAGCGTAGGGCCGTAGGCGGCACCTTGGCCCAGGAGCAGCACGAGACGCTCGTCTCACAAGACTTGGGATCCAACAAGAAACAAGAGGCAAGCTCATGGGGGTGAACGTCTTCACCCCTTGGCGGGAAGCCAAGATTCTGGCAACACGAGATGCTCGTCTCACAGGACTTGGGACCAGCAAGAAACAAGAGGCAAGCTCATAGGGAGGAACGTCCCCACCCCTTGGCGAGAAGCCAAGATCCTGGCGGGAAGCGCATTTAATGCAGAAGATTTGGTGGTTGCGCATTTAATGTAGAAGATTTGGTGGTTGGAATCAAGCCATCCACAGCCCGCCACGTCAACACATCTAACTAGCAATTGGCGGTATAAATAGTACTCCCTCCGTCCCCCTATTATTGTCCCATTGCGGTTTACGATGCTTGACCGACGATAAAGCAAACAGATCCCTGTCCGCACTCAAATTATTTTTAGAAAAAGAAAATTACATATTCAGAAACTACATTAAAAGATTTACAAAGTCGCAAAAACCAGAATCAAATTTGATAAAAAATTGATACATAAAGTAAGAGATTAAGAGTGATTTGTGTTGACCAAGTGAATAGGAAATGAGACAATAACAGGGGGGCGGAGGGAGTAGCATTTATTTCATTGTAATGGGTTGACAACTTAGCACTTTAATATTATAGCATTGTACCAGCTCGTAGCATAGCGAGAGACGAACGACCTCTCGGCTTTGTAACCCTTTCAGTGTATTAAGACTTTCAGTGTATTAACCCTTTCAGTGTATTAAGACTTCTTATTGGGTCCTTCTTGCTTGTTTCTACATCTACTTCGATACTTTTTCCATTCGAAATCCTTGGGTCGTGTGTTGGCCCTACGGGTTGAAGGAATAAACCTTAACAGTATGTTTTTAACAAAACAAAAAAACTTATCCACATTTAAAATAACCATTCATTAAAGAAGGCACCAAGGAATGGTAGGTGGATAACTTGATATTATATCATATGTAGGGTAGTATGTGGAAACTATTTTATGGGTATGACTTTTTTAATGAGTAGGTAGAAAGAGCAAAAATAAGAGTTAATGTTCAATGCAACAATATGTATGATGCATATGCGATATGAAATTAATAACTATAATACCCCAGCTTCCTTCTTTTTTTGATACTTCCTTATTCAAATGATCTTATCGATGCGTGATAAATTTTTCTTCACAATGTTTAGGAAAATGTACGAATGTAAACATTGTAGATTAAAAATAAACTAAAATTCTAGAACAGCGTGGAAAGGAAAATAAGAAATTAAATTAATTTAGTTTTATGTCTATATTACTCACGTCACAGCATATACACTTTGCACACTATTGCATCAGACATGGAGCAATTTGTTGAAATATGAAATAACGTAAAGAGAACTAAAGCTCTCTTCATCCCTTAAGGAACTTGACACACTTTTAAGATGCCAATTTTTCTTCTTGAACTTCCTGAAATGACAATGATGTTACTTTAGAGTGCATTGTTTATATCGTTTGATAATGTACCTTCATTGCTACTTAAATGTGGTAAAACCCGCAAATTTTACTGTGGAATCGGTCCACCTTCCACATGGTGTGCCGATCCCACTTTTGCAAAGTTCGTTGATTTCTTTCCTTGTCGGGAGCTTTTTCCTTCCTTTTTCTTTTGCTATATTCTTTCTTTATTTTTCTTTAGTTCAATTCTTCTCAATTTCCATCAAATTAAAATATTAAAAATTTAATTTCACTTTTACTTTTCCTTATCTTCAATTTAGATTATAATTGAATCTATTTTTTTATTCTTTATCAATACATAACAAAAAGTTTAATAATCTAAATAAAATAAGTACATTGCATTTTATATTCATGCACTAATTTTTGTAATATCTTTTTTAAATTCATACATTTTTTTGTAATATATTTTTAATTATATGTATACACTTTTTCTATAATATACTCCCTCTGTCCCGGTCATTTCTTCCGGTTTTGACCGGTATCGCAAATTTAGGTAGTAGGAATAAAGTGAAAATGTATGGTTATAGTTGTGTAAGAAAAAAGTGAATGAATGTGAACCACATATTTTTTCCAAAAGTGGAAGTTGGAAGAATTAATTGGGACGGTTCAAAAAGGAAAGTTGGAAGAAATGGCCGGGACGGATGGAGTATTTTTTATCACTTTTATATGTTTTTAGAGGTTTTTAAGACATTGATTTTGTTAATTTTAATTCTAGCTTGGAGTTACATTTGATAATTACATTTGATAATATACCAAGTTACATCATCTTATGTTCAAGTTACATGTTATAATGCGTGAGTTACATCTTGTTATGCGTGAGTTACATATTCTTATGCGCGAGTTATATTTAATTATGCGTGTATTACATCTAATTATTTGTGATATTGCACTTATCTTTTTTCTTTAACTAGTTAAATTACAACTGAATTCATTTTTTTCTTTACCAATTTAATACAAAATTTTTTTAAACCACATAAATAAGTATAGTGTATTTCATAATCACAAAATAAACCCTTTTATTGAATAAACGAACTTTTTTATATCGATTTTCTTTTGCAAAAAAATTGATTTTTGGGGGAAAATGATTTCTATAAACATTTTGTGGTCTTAATATTAAAAACAAAACATATTCACTATTTCGGTAAAATAAATAAAATATTAGACTCTTTTTTTATTGTTTACATTGAAATCATTGTTTTTGACAAATACATTTCGACTTGCCTCCAGTAACATTTCTTATTAACGTAAGTTATATATTTTTACACGCGAGTTACATCATTCATGCTACTGGGACAAAAAGAAAGAAAAAATAGTTACTGTACACGCGTGTAATGTTCATGCGAATTTTAAAAAACAAATTGTGAAAAGCTACGTCGTTTTGGAAGTGGAGCACTATGCTCACCATGAGATGATCCCACGGTCTACGAATTGGGTAAAGAAAGTTTGATAAATTTTATTCAATAAATAACCGAAGAAAACTTCATTTAGAGATACCAAAAAATGAACACGAACTTCTTCCTTTCTAACATGCAGTGGCGGAATCAGAACGAAAACAAAGGGGTAGCTAAAAGTATTACCAAATACAAAAATATAAATTGCTATTAAAGTTTACGTAATATAAAATTTGTGAGAATGGTACATTAGATTACAATTAAATGTTAGAAGAAGAAGAAGCC